AAAACAAACCGCCTTTCGCAAAGAAATGCATGGATCTTCCTTCATACGAAATCATAGCATTCGTAACGATTTTCTTTTAGATTTCATGCAAAGAATGCAGATTTCAAATAAAAAAGAAGTGAAACTTATCTGAAAGTGACCATGGCACCTAATATCATCGATTCTAGTTGCGAGACAGCTACTTTAGACCATTCCATTTTCGACTTAACAAATACATTGGATAAAAACAGTTCTCTCTTAAAAATTTGACTTCCGTAACGGTAATTCAGGAATGTTTTTGCATTGAAGGTATTTTTTTTTATTATATAGGGAGCGAAATGCTTCATAGTTTTGATTAACATCTTAAAACAAACGTTAACTTTAACTGTTGCCGAGAATTTTAACTTATATTGCTGGAAATTAACTTCCGTAACGGTCGCCCGCGTGGCGCAGTGGTTAGAGCGTCCGCTCTAGAGTCTCGGAGTAAAGAGTTGATCCTTACGTCGCGGGTTCGAATCCCACTATGGGACATGGAAACCGGTCCTTCGGATGAGACCGTATAAACCGAGGTCCCGTGTCGCAGTAGGTGCTGGCACGAAAAAGATCCCTCACTGCTCAATGGCCGTAAGTGCCGGACAAAATTTGCAGCTCTCCACTGGCAAGTAGTGGCGTCTCCTTATGAGTGAAAAATTCTCGAGAGGGACGTTAAACAACATACAAACAAACAAAAACTTCCGTAAAGATTAACTTCCGTAACGATATTTTTCCCGAAATTTTAACTTAATATCGGATTCATGCGAGGCTTCAAGAATCATACTTAAGCGGTTTGTACTGAACATCAGAAAACGAAAAAAAATGGTCAAATTCAGCTTTCATTAAAAAATAATAAGAGTTGTTAAGGCATTAACTTCCGTAACATTACCTTAAACTCAATGGTATATTGAAATTGTTGTAAAAAGTTAACGATACCAGATTTGTAGACAATTCTTTGTTTTTCAAGTTCACTAATATGTCCTTTAGAGAATTATGATGTTCAATTTGCTATTTGAAACAATTATATTTTGTTATGTTTTATACCCTGAATTGGTCCTTTTATCGTAGAATGACTGTTAAGTAATAGAGAATGGACCCTTTTTCAGTACCGTTTAAATACAGAATGTATTACCAAATTCTTGTCTGTTGGTAATAGTAAAAACACTGGTGGATATTTCTAATTCAAAATCACGTTAAACAACACCTTAATCAGCATAAATTTTAAACAATTGGAGATTTTTAAATGCCTATAGATACACTAAATCCGGAAAAGTCGTGACGAATCTATTTGAGTTTCATCTATTTAAATCAGGGGGAGGAGAGATTTAAATCGGCACTTGAATAATCTGGTGGTGGATCATCGAAGGGCGCTTTTGCCGAAAAATACGTCTTGCATTATTTTATCTATAAAAAAAAATCAAATGAAGCTGTGTAGTTGTATGTAGCCATAGTGATCAAATTGAGAATTTTGCTGGATTGCCTTTGAAATAATACAATAAATATTAACATTACTTTCTTTATCAATTTAAAATTACAAAAGGGTACCGTATAAGTGGAATTTTTAGCGAGACGCAAATTTAGCGATATATCCTAAAAAAAAATTGGTATATACTTTTAGCGAGAAGTAATTTTAGCAATTTTGTAAAGTCAGGAATGATATTTACAACCGACACAGGTTAAATTGTTAGTGGTATTCAGTTTTAGCGATCTCAAAACCCCCGCTAATAATGCAAAATTGAATCCTTGCTAAAAATTCTGCTTATACGGCTACGGGTATTTAGGGGTAAAGAATGAACTGTTTTTCTGTACTACCACTTACATTCAATCCGATTCATCATTGCATGATTTCCTTATAATATTCAAACAGACTATTTCTTTTCAATCAAAAAATATAATTAAGCATTATTTAAAAATATCTGCGTGCTTGCATTTTATAAAAAATGAAATTCCATTAACAAATAATTATAGTTATAAATTGAATTAAAATCAAAATTCGCACAATGCCTCTCGAGAAGTTCGTAGGGCCATGTACAAAAAGAGAGACAAACTAAAGGGAGGACTAAAATTCGCGTCACAAAAGCAAAAGGTTTCTAAATCTTTTGTACATGTAACAATTTAAAATAGTATAGCATATATCAATTGTACTACTGGACATAACGAAAATAATCTTGCAAAACACATTGATTTGGGGGTAAGGACATGCTTTGAATTCTAAATTATGCCACCTCGTCCTCAGTTGATTGGGGTCCTATACAAAAATGTAGGTGTAACATTTCCCTTCATTATTCGTAATTTTTATTATAGGATTGACTGACGTGTATAAATTATTTTGTACAACGAGAAAAATTAATGAATCTATAAAACGAATTGCACTCTTCACGAAAGCCGATGGGTTTTTTTTAAACAAGATGTGTTTGTGAAACAGTGATACCCCCTTATGGCGAAGGTTAGTTTTTCAAACGCAAGTCAAACTCCAAGGTCAAAGTCAAGAGATCTGTAGAAGTATGTCAAGGTCAAAAGTTCAAAATTGTTGGTATCCAAAGGAAGGTCTTGTCACAAGAATATACCTGTGAAATTTGAAAGCCCTAGTGCTAACTGTTCAAAAGTTATGGCCAAAGTTAAAGTTTTTAAAAGTTGGTCAAACTTTAAGATCAAGGTCAAAAATATTTACACCCATGGAAAAGTCTTGTCACGATGAATACACATGTGAAATATGAAAGCCATAGCACCAACTATTCAAAAGTAAAGGCAAAGGTTAAAATTAGGTAATTTATGGCAAAAGTGGGTCAAACTCCAAGGTCAAGAGGTCAAAATATTGGTACCTTAAGGAAAGTATTGTCACAAGGAATACACATGTGGAATATGAAAACCACAGCTCCAACCAATCAAAAGTCATGGATAGGGTTAAAGTTTTTGCGGGCAAACAGACAGACAACTAGACAGAGACACGGGTGGACAGTGCAAAAACTTTATATACCCGAATCTTCGATTACGGGGCCATAAAAAGTTTGCTATTTGGTTTTTTTTTTAAGATTCATTTCTCGATTAACAAAATAATTAGTCCCCTACCGGTGAAAACGGAGGGGACTATAGGTTTCCTCTGATTCTGTCCGTCCGTTTGTCTGTCTGTCTGTCTGTCTGCCTGTCAGTCTGTCCCACTTGGTTTTCCGCACTTTTTTCCTAAACGCTTGCAGATATTGAGCTGATTTTTGGTATGTGAGTGTATCTTGATGAGATACAGACCAAGTTTGCATTTCGTTCCGCTTCATTGATTTTTGACGGAATTATGACCTCTTCAATTTTTAAGGGTTTTCCGCAATTTTCTTCTAAACGCTTGCAGATATTGAGCTGATTTTTGGTATGTGACTTTACCTTGATGAGTTACAGATCAAGTTTGCATTTCGTTCCACTTCATTGACTTTTGACGAAATTATGGCATTTTCAATTTTTAACGGGAACCAGATTACACTTGCTGGTAGGGGACTAGTATTGCTAATGCAGTACTCTCAGAATGCTTGTTTATAAAGTCAATGCTTATAATTCCATTTCAGTGACAAACATGCTTTTTTACATGTACATATTCATTATTTATTGTGCACGAAATTCATATGCCGACAGCTGCGTAGACATACATCGATTGGAAATTTACATGATTCTCGGGAACGGTTCCAAATGCCAGGAGTACACCAGGCAGGTATAATTCTCCAAAAGTTATAAAAATTAATAAGAACTCTCTGTTGCATTATTGTCTGTATAATAATAAGTTTACCAACTTCCAATACGAAAGTTATGAAAATCTGAACATGTAATTTTCAAAGTGATTGCAACATAAAGCAGACATGCAGACACTTGCTTTGTTTTCAGTAAACAATCGATCAATGGTCGCACGTCGAGTATCAAAAAGGAATATCTCCAGGTTTAAATTAATTTCAAGAAATTGACTGGCTTGTTAATACGCATATGTACATGTTCAACCTGATTGTTAGCTAACACCCTCTATTTGCAGACGAAATACTGATAATCAAAATGCAGAATAACAGCAAGCTCAAGAAAATGTCAAGAAAATCTCAACATGTCCCTTTTGTATAATTTTTTTTATTAGCTACAGAATCAGTTTTATTCCCGGTTCTACTTTGAAATTATGCAAAAGTTGGTGTACTTTTGTTACATGAAGTATATGGAAATAACGAACAGTATTCAAGCTCAAAAGTTCATTTAAACAATACAAATCAGGAGCAGAGCAAGCACGGACCTCTAAAACATCAGACGTGGGATCAGGTGCCATTGGATAGGGAGCATCCCCTGCCAACCGGTCACATCTGCCGTGTGCTCCTTGTCATGATTGGGAAATTACGGAAAAATCCTTCGTCAATTCAGTGTTAAATAATGGCCTAACAATTAGTATGAAAAACGTCAGTCAGCATTTGACTTAATGATAAATTGTATTTGCTAAAAAGGTCATTGTATCGACCATAGAACTTGCTAAATGACGACTTTAAACGGAATTGCTGATATTCTTGTTTCATCAACTTGTTTTTCAATTACTTATTAACACGGGACCTCGATTTATAGTTTGATAGTGAAATAGTAAATATTGATATTAAGATGGTGCTTAAAAATGTTTTATTGAGGGCAAAACACATTATCTAGCAAAACATTAATAGATCTGCAGGTGCAAAATATTACTATGTCTTTGGCAATGTGAATATAACATTATTAATATTGAGCTTTCTAACCTTTGATATATTTAGGAGCTAAATATGTGGTTACCTAAAAATTTTCAGGACACAGACAACCTGAGTAAAAAAAGTAATTCACAAAACCAAGGACAAATTGCGTGTTCTTCATGTCGACACAGAAAAAATTAAATAACCTAGAATATGCCTCAGTTGATTAAAAATTATAAATATTAATTTGTTGATAAATAGAATACTGAAGTAAATAAAAACAGTACTTTAAAATCTTTTTTCATACTATCACAGAAAATATTCATGAAAGACAAATTTAAAGAAAAATATATCAAATTAGAGTACAATGAAAAACAACAAAATAATTATAATATATAAACCAATGCAAAATATCCAATGGAATCTAATATGGTGAGAAACTTTATACAGACGCATTACCATACCATACTGTATTATCAAGCTTTCATGGGTTTTTTTTCGAAAAAAGTTTGATAGTTTTTAATTTTTTCCCAACAAAATTAATAATATTTGTAGTAATCTTTTGCTAGAATACTATCTCTCAGAAACTTTCACAGAACTCAAAATGCAACTATTTCACCGTTGAACTCAATTTCTACAAAAGAACATATAAATAATCAGCAATCAGAGCAAATTTCAAAACAAATCAAAGTTGAAATCTCTAAATCATTTTATTGCTTCTATCAATTACTTGTAAATCATCTAAAATAATTCAAAAGCATATTTCACCTTTAAGAGCATTAAACCTCTCAATAGCTCCATCTACATCCATTGTATTGTTCGCAAGAGATGATTTCCAATACAAACGCAGATATTTCTGCTGAAAGACATTGGGTAATATGGCAGGTATCTAGAAGGAAAAATATCAATTGATTTGATTTCCTTTTCTCTTCAGCAATAAAGTGATAACTCTAGAAACTTTAATCAAATATCAATATTTTGAATCAGTAATATATCTTGATTGTTTGTTCTGCTGAATATTGTTGTTTAAACAGTTTAACAAATCTCATTGTAAATCTGCTGCACATATTTTAGCTGACAAGATTTCAACCCTTAGTTTCGCACCATTGAAAAATTGACCCTTAACCTACCATACGTTCTTGCCATCAGAAAACAATGCTTTTATTCATAATGAATTTTTTTCTTCTTCACAATTTGGAATTTTGACTATTGACTTAGGGCATGTGTCTGAAACTACGTTTTAATTAGTTTTAAAAAGAAAACAGATCTCGATGAGCTGCTAAGTTGAATCTTTGAATCTTTGATATTGCATAAAATGTACTCTTAATGTTAATTTTTTTTTTTAAATAAAAAAAACTTTAATAATTTTTCTATGAAAATAACTTCCAAAACTAGTCATAATAAAAATGTCAATTTGTATCTGTATATTTATCTTTTCAAACAAGTATGGTATACATTTGAATCAAATTTACTTTCAAAATGAAAGAGAGATAATCTAAAAACAGCTATTTTTGTATAGCCTAGGCATTTTTGGTATGAAACTGTCTCTGACAGATACCTCATCATCCCTCATGATCGCTGGCTTATCATCTTTATAAAAGTAAACGTTTTTCATAGGGTTTCTCGCTTCACTTCCAAAATCAAAGGAGACCATCTGTAGAAAATATCCCAGTCACATAAAAAAAAATCAAAGGCATTCAATTTATACTGTGTTCATGAAAAAAAAAATCAGTCTTTATTTTATGATTACACATATAATCAAGAAGAATTTTTTCGTACCTTAAGATAAATTTCGTCTCTTCTCAACAGGTCTTGGATAAATGTTTCATCTTCATTTTTTATTTGTGATCTTTTTTCCTGATTTTAGATGAAAAAAAAATATCAAAGATAACTTGTCATTACACTGTAATTATTTCTATTACATAAAGAACTGCTGATATTTTAAAGAAACAAATGATAATGTGAAAAAGAAAATAATTAGAAAGTACTAAGCATTTACATTTTTATAGCCTGAAATCATTAAATAAAAGATTTGACTGACAGTAATTGTTATTTCAACATTTCAAGAGTTAAATATGAATTAAATGGGTAAAATATATACTTTTATGCTTATTTTTCTTTCTGCCACACATTTGTAAAGATCTCGTCGAAATATTCTGTCGATAATCTTTTTAGCCTTATTTATGTCTTTTTTATCATCACCATTATTGTTTTCAAGACGAATTTGATGAATGATGTCATCTGTCACTAAACTATATGCTTCCATATCATTGATTGTCTCGGACAATTTCACTGTTGTTCCATTCTTACCACTGTAAAAAATGGAGAAACTTTAAATGAAATAAAACTAACACAATATTTTTAAAAAATGTTAACAGTAACAAAACAGTAACAAAACACAAAAAGAAAGATCCTTCTTGTTACACAAAGTATGCAAAAAGATATATTTATTTGAATAGGGAGACTATAAGTAACTTAAATAGAGTTCTGTAACTTGCAATCTACTTGAAGGTCTTTAATTATTAAAGTCATATTTAATAACATCAATTCCATCAAACTCTATAGATACAACATTAGAAACAATATAACTATCTGAGAAAGAATGTACATTGTAACATACGAATAACAAACCTATAGACCAGTTTTTCATTTGCAAGGCAAAGGGCATCTGCTACCCTGTCCAAATATAAATATAAAATAAAAAACATATTTGACAGAAGTCCTTTGTAAACACTGAACAGAAAGAAATAGTCTACCAAGTGAATTTAACATACTTATCGGGTTTTGCAATCTCTTTACTTCATGCAATCTTTTAAAATATTGAATAATCGAATTTATTTTTTTTTTTAATCCTTATGTGAATTCAAAAAACATATATACATTATCTCTACTGCTTTTGTAACCGGATGTTGATAAGCTCGGCGGTGCAGGGTATAGCGAGCATGGTACATATCAAAGATGTTCATATATTCCTAAAATAAAGTGTAGATTATCATTATCACTGGTTTATGACAAATAATATGCATTATCAAATTTGGTTCCATATATGATTTACATCAATGTCAATTCTGCTAATAATTAAAATTGATGAAACAAATATCAAACTTAGTTATAAAGACATTTTTTACTGTTTTAGGGAATGAAACGTGGAATTCTTCGCCATGTTTAATGACCCGAGCAAGCATAATGCTTCGCATCGTCTGGAAGTTATGCTTCAGGCCCAGCATGTGACAATCTCTAGAGAAATAATCCCATTTGTCTACGTCAATGCTATTTTCGTCGTTTGCCACGATCTGAAGATTAAAAAAAAGTAATTGTTAAATTCGTTAAGAACCATGTTATTATTAGTTCGTGTTCAGGTTCTATGTTTGAATTTAAGTTTAGTCATAGCATTATAATAAGGTTTTTACACCTCGTAGAGGAAATGCTTCTTATCTTCTCTGCCAGAATATAGTCCATCTCCTTTCTGGTAAAACAAAATCCATACGCTAATTTTAGAATAACAAAATATATAAATTATAACAATCGTAAATTTTCGGTGAATTTATTTGGCATTGTGATTATAATTCTAGTGTGTTTTGAAACTGTGAACCATTTATATTTTTAATCAAAAGTAATTGACGAAAGAAAGGAACTAATCCCATAATATTATCAAAAGCTTCTACCTTGCAATCAATGTTTACAGTGCAAAAAGACAAAAGAAAATGACTTCACATTATTATAACCATATTCTTAGTAATCTCTAGTACATACTCCAATGATTAAACTTTTGATAAATTGTCTTTCCTCTGAACCCTCTCCGAGATCGAGGTTAAAATTATCCTTTAATTTCTTCAGATAGTCACCGTCAAAATTATCAAAAATACGGTCCAACATTTGTACAGATGCATGCTCGTGCTGAAAAAAAAATTTCAAATTATGAAAATCATTATTCTCAGATGAGCTTATAAAACGCAGATGATATCTGGAAAGATTATTTTTAACTACTCTTTGGGAAAAAACGCGTACTTGAGAATGCAAAACTCCTGCATTTAAATAAGCTACAAAAATTACTTTGTAGTTAAGTCATAAATTTAAAAAAGTTATGAGAGTTTTGTTTGAAGTACATATTATGTATTTGCGGACACACACTTCAATCAAATTTGCCTAGAATCTCTTATTTGTACTAAGTCTTATGCAATTCAGACAGAATTTATAGCTCTGAAGTAGCGTTTTAAAAAAGTTTTTACAAAATATTTGAATTTTTTTCCATGAAATAATGGGTTCACCTATTCTGAAAATCGGAGAACGACAAAATCTTTTTATGGTATGCACTTGGTACGGAAGTATTCAAGCAAATTGTTTGACGAATTTATCCTATCGTCACCTTTCGTAAATATATTTATATATTACAGTATGAATACCTTCCATTTTCTCTGTTTATCGTCCTCCACTTCTTTAGTATCATGCTTTTGTTCTCTTTCCTTTTGATTATATTCTTTTATTCTTTTTGAAATCCTCGGTATAAAATCCTTCTCAAAGACATGTGAAAATATTCCATGACCTAAAAAATCACAACCAATCAACGATTACTTTATAATGAAATGTGAAAATAAGGAACAATGATCATTCACAAAATCCATTTAAACAAATCATGAGCAGAGCCAAAACGGAACTCTGAAAACAGAGGTGGGACCAGAAGCCATGTAGGAGCAAGCATCCCCTGTCAAGAGGTCACACCCCCAAGTGATCCTTGTCATGTCCGGGCAAACAAAAATCCCGTAGACAATTCAGTGTGAAAATAATGGCCTTACAGTCTTTATGAAAGACGTAATAATAAATGACATGATAGTTGAAAATCTTAATATTTGTGAGTTGAACAGAGAAAAAATGGAAAGTAAGAGTTCTGTTCATTTGCCCTGTCTATAACTAAACAACATACACTTAATTCAAGGGGACGGGAGAATAAATTTTGTTGCTAAATAAACAAAAAAAAAATCAATTGTTATCGCCTCTTGTACCTAAATCATGACAAAGTCCTGCGATCTCCACACAAAGTATATCTCTGTCTGTTATGTCAATGTCGTACTCTGTATTCAAATTCTCTCTCAGCATCCGGACGAGTTTTCCAGATAGATATGATGTCCTATAACAGGTATATAGAAAAATAATTATCAAAATATTAGTATACATTATAATATATAAAAGGTAAAACTAATAATTTTCACTTCGAAAATTAAGAAAAAGAAGACGAATTTGATGGATAGATAGACTGGATGAAAAGACGAAATGAACGGATAGATGGGTGGACGAAAATATGAAATGGATGGATAGATGGATTGGATGAACAAATGGATTAAATGAATAGAAAAATGTGATGGATGGATTATACGAAAAGATGGATTGGTGGGATAGATGATTTGGACATAAAGAAGAATTCGATAGGTAGATGGATTGGACAAAAAGACGGATTGGACAGATACACTGTAGATACCCAATCGAGTGCTCAAATCGTGTATGACATGCTCCAGGATAAACAAAGGAACATCCACCGAGTTGCTTGATGTATCTCAGCCGCTGGAATTCGGGAGTGTCGATTATTTTTATACATATTGAATGAAGTTTTATTGGGCCCCATATGGAATCGTTGATAATCTACATGAAATAAATACATTTCTTACTTAACAATGCTTTTAATAAAAAGAGTCAACAAAGTCCTGTATTTTTTAATTATCTGTGGTTGTTTCACATTATGACATAATGGTTCATGTATTCTTTTCCTTTCATTATAAGAGAGTTTGTCAAATCAGTTTAGAAGTAAGTTTTATTTCTTTTACAACAATCGATGTTAACTTATTTGACACTCAACTGTTCACTGAGTAAGACAATAGGCAAAATTGCCGAAATGAAGGAACTAGTAAAATCAGAAGAATTTATGTAAAAATACCTTGTCTTTCACCTTCTTTTTCATTTCTGTAAGAACTGAAAAACAGAATATGTTTAAGCATTATAAGCATCAATTAAGACACGTTTACAAAATACCGGTTACTTTTATCCTGCAATCAAATGCAAGAAAATCAAAATCTATGACCAAAAACAAATTTTACAGATTAGAATTACTTCGAGTAGCATCAATCTGCAGAGCTTTTTACAATTGTTTTCATATCTAAATTATCTTTCATCCAACAAGCTAACAGTAATCTTTAAAAGCTACAGCAGAAGTCAGCTCAAAAGATTTGAAACGTTTAAAACATTAGTATGGGTATGAAATAAAAAATTATTGAAAAGAACATACTTTAAATGAAATTTAGAAATTAAAATTTATGATTATACATCTACCTTCATTATTTCTTTATTCTTTGTGAAGAAGATTGGTCTTGTATAGAATATATGCTTTAAAACAAATAACTTGACCTTGTGGTAATATATTAATTTTAATGGTGCTATAGTTTTTATTATCTATAGTTAATACCAACCAAAAAACTTTGAAATTCCTTACAATTAAGGTCAAATATCATCAAACAACCAGTCCCATGTAAACACACCCACTACTCAAATATCAAATCAAAATAGATCCCAGCACATTTTTACCATTATTATATGCTTTACATATTTTTATCTTTTTTGTCTTCCACTTTCATTTATGAATAAGTATATTATTATTATACTTGTACATCTGGACTGAATGTATATATGCTGTAAATATTTTACATTGTCCCCATGTACCATATATTTAGATGGTTTTGAGTGAATAAATGAACTTGAACTTGATCAAAAGTATATGGGTATTTTTTATTTTTGTTAGTAAATTAGCAAACCAGGCAGTAAAAAAAAGCAAAAACAAAACAAGAAAAACAAAAAGATTGAGGATTCTTAGTAAAACAACATGACTTCTTTTGTCGGGGGGGGGGGGGGGTTATATCTAACTCTTTAGAAAATGAAGTTCCTAAGAACCGTACGATTTCTTACCTTTAAATGAATAAAATCTTCTAGGAGATTATTCAGTACAAAGTCTATCTTTCAACAATACAAGTAAAATGTTAATATCAAGATATCTTGTCATGGAAAGCAAAAATGTGTATCATGATTTAGCAATTTTGATTGATTTCTAATTAAAACGAATAAAAAAAAACCGTATTTCTAAGCAAAATGATAAGAAAACATACACATTAAAATATTTTTTTTAAAGTAAAAGTGTTCAATATTACCTTTTTAAAATTTTGTAAGCAATATCTTTTGCAAGTAAAACTTACAACAGAACTGTTTACTTTTCTTATCACTAAATCATTCAGATATGTAAGTTGGGTTTTACACAACGAGTTTGAACATATCCGTCTTCTTATCAGAAAATGGTCTTAAATTAAGGCTTCCAAATCTACAAGCTTTAATAAAATTACGTATAGTAATACTATGAACAATAACGTTTTATGATGATTAAAACCAGACAATTTATGGTCCTATTGTAAACCCCAAACCCTCCTTACTGAAATCCAAGAGTTTAGAGTTTGATCAACTTTAAAAGGATACAGACTTCTGTATTTAAAATGTTTGACAAAATATTTGTTTTAAATAATATAACTTTTGAACATGGTGAAAATTTCTTTCTAAACTTGGCTCCATAGTTCATTTTAATTTATTACTGATGAATTCATTTCATCTATAAAACTCAATTTTGCTTACGATTTTCTATCAGGATCCAGACAATCAATAATAAAAAATATGTTTGCCATATATTGTAGAGATTAATATCATTTTGACATTTCATTTGTTGATCGTAATTAGAGATAATAGGTCAAGATCAAGAAGAATCTTAGAGATATTAACAAATCACAGAGAAAAGTTAAATTTTGCATGCATTTTCAATGACATTGAAATTAACACCAGCAATTTTTCACTCCCTGAAACTGTTTGTACTATATTAATTGAGGTTTGATCTTTGATATATTTGCATATATTTAGTGGTGTTGATTTTACTGAAAAAGGTGAAGGTAACGAAAAGTGGTCTCTTTTAGAAACCCCTTCAACAATACATATTGTGAACAGGGCGAAAGCACAGACCCCTGGAAACACCAAAGGTGAAATCAGGTGCCTAAGAGAAGTAAGCATCATCTGTTGACTGGTCACTGACGCCAGGAAGATCTACACTAATCAGGTAACCGTATACGAAATAACCGTAGACGAATTTAGTGTACAATTGTCTACCAATTGGAATAAAACAAAAATAAAACAAAATTCGATTTATGATATGTTGTATTCACAGACTAGGTCATCTTTACGAACACGGGTTTTGAGAAATGCTAACTTTAAGCAAGATGTTGAATGCCCCGTAACATTTACTTATTTCTCAATAGCTTGCCTCTGTTTAAAAATTGAACGTGTTCAGAGCATGCTTTTGCGAACACAATCGGCTGGGAGACATAAACACCATTAAGTTAACAGGTGATAGTAGAATGTTAATACATAAGTAAGGGAAGTTGACGAGGTCATCCCTTGTGTCCATGGTCATTAATTTATATCGTCATTAAAACATTAAAGATATGAAACACAGTAGTAGTATTCAAGTTTTCTAAAAGGTTGTTGGGGGTTTTGAGAATCCACATTTGGTTTACACCACTTCATAAATTAGCTTTAATACACTAGTCTGATGTTTCTTTTTCTCAGCAGTTAATATTTTTAAGAGGCGTAGACAGTCTTGATATAACATTTTCTCGACCCTGCAATATATGTTTGTTTGTAAAGATTTTGATGAAATTTTGGAATATACCCTGGTAGTAAAGGTGCCGTAAATTAAGTTCACTTAAATTTTTAAGTTTTAGATCTAAAATGTGATTTTGAAGAATTTCGTCTTTCAAACGGAGTACGTGTCAATCCCTTTGTTTGTTAAATAAAATGTGAGCATAAGTTGAATTATCAGACGTGGAATTAAAGCCAAGTTCTTCAAGTTGTATAGCTGTAATAATGAGCTTTTAAAAGAAAAACTATATTGATAAAACCTTTGTCAGCTGGCACAAAAGCATGTTCAGCCTTTCCTGTTCTATATTTTCACGTCCACTTGATTGAAAACGGAAGAATAGTTGGTAATCATTTTTGCTTCTTAACTCTGACGAAAGATACCGATTTTCAAACTTCATGACAACATGATTTGTTCAATAAGAGAAAATTGATATTTTTTCTCAGATAACAAAAAATGATATTTCTTTTCAAACCCTCATTTATAATGAAACAATAAACAAGTAATCGATATAAAGTGAACTATTACTTCATCAAGGCTAATCCAAACGATGTTGCCACTTAAATTGTTTTCCATGGCCTATCTTTTTCTAATTTTCCTGATAGTATCTGATAAATATTATAAAAAAACAGAGCAAAGCACAGACCTCTGGCAACATCAAAGGTGAGATGAGATACCATGTAACAGAAACTCCACCAGTCAACCGCTTTGAGCTTTTTTTATGACAAGTTATTTCTCCGTGGGCGATTCTTCAATTTCCTGCTACATTGCGAGTAGTCTGTATATGGGAGGCATTCTAACTGTCGTGATGACCTGTCCTGAGACACACATCATTCTAAACCTCGCAAAACTCACTGATTATTGTTTACATATTTCTTTATTGATAAAACTCATGACGTCTGTGGTATAAATGAACATGAATATTTGTTAATTGATAAATGAGTATCTTAGTGTTCTTTGAACCCGAGTTTCAGGTTTTAGAATGACATGTTGGTCAACACACTACTCACTGTAAATATCGTATTAAAAGCAGTTTTCTAAAAGGTATGTTAAAATCTTACCTTTCAATTGCATACTTCTTCAGCATATTTAAACAAAGTTACATATATGTTTCCCTAAAGCATTTTCACAATTTACTCTGTTCCATTCGAATTCACATTCTACTTTCGTTTTACTTCAGCGGATAATATACATGTTGATCTTCATATTTAAAAATAAAGAAAAAACAGGAAAAGAAGTGTTTGTAATTCAACACACTTTTCCACAAAATGTCTCCAAAAGTTGTGATGCAACTATTAGGTGATCGATATTGTACTTAATACGAAGTTTTAGTGGACAGAAAAATGTAATTGTTCTTTTTTTTATGCATACATTATCGTCTGTAAAAAACGAATGCTGATCCCGATCGAGTTGATTTAGAGCCGCGTTATTCCGTGCATCACTCTTATTAGAAAAATATTTTAATCACTTTATCAGACTTCATTCATGACATTTTACTTTGTGATAGAACACTGTGATTGAGATCGCATTTATGTATTAAGGTTTATGGGAAACACACAACACACCCCACTTTTAACATTGATATTCTCAATATTTGAAGATACGCTTACATGTTGAATTTTTTCAAAGGTTTTTTTTTGTTTTTAATTTCAGCATAACTGATTAAAAAGATGTGTGTAAGCACCACGCTTTCTTCTACAAATTTTAATCCAAAATCAGATATGATACAGAAATTTGATTGTAAACAAGGAAAAACTTCCTTGATAACAAACTAAGTTTCTTTCTGGTCAGTCTGTTTTAATGACGTTAGAGTGCATGTGATAGTTTATACAATTTATTCATTTATTTATCCATCTATTTTTGTGCATATATATATATATATATATATATATATATATATATATATATATATATATATATATATATATATATATATATATATATATATATATATATATAAAATATCTGTCTGTCTGTGTGATATGTTACAGTTAATACAGTTAATATGGGTAATTAGGAATACCTGAAATTCCTATTCTGCAAATGTAATACGTGTGATCACATTTACTGTTTTCAGTTTGGAAATACATGTATTTACTGAATTTTCAATACTTTTTACACGTATAAAAAATTTACTGACTCCGTTTCTGATGAGATGATTTTAAGTTAAAATCATAAAATATTAACAGATCCACGGCAAATTTAATGTTTACCTTCCACGGTAAATTTAATGTTTACCTTCCCAACGTATACCTAGTGAGTAGAGTTCAATTACTTGTTGTACAAACAGTGGTCTTTAATTGATTCACTTTTCATTTAAAATATTGCAATTGATGATAAGAAGCTTTTTACTTGATATCAAATTGATATTTTGTCAAACTTTGATTGAAAAGAAATATTAAGGAGGAATGCTAGAATCAAATTTTAAATTAATTTAATAAGTTTTTAAAATATTCCTTTATTAGTTTATTGAGTCATTTTTATAAATATTTTGGAATTAAAAAAACTAAAACCGCTTACCGACTTTTCTTTACATGTTTTATTAGGTACTCACACTGTGCTACTATGCATTTATGAACAGGAAATTTAAAACCCTAAGCATCTTAATTGTCTCTAGAGATTGTCCAAAAAAATTTAAAGTATAATGCAATAGAGCATTTGTCAGTATGTCAGTGATGAAACCACCGTTCACGGTAGCTCAGTCGGTAGAGCGCTCGCTCCGTGATCGGGAGGTCGTGTGTTCGAATCTCGGCCGCGACTGACCTAAGTCGATAAAAAAAATGGGTAGCAACTGTTCCTTCGCCATGCGCTCAGCACATTGAAGTGAAAGTTGCGGGTCCTTCGGATGAGACCTTAAAAACCGAGGCCCCTTGTCACGACAAGCGTTGGCACGATAAAGATCCCTTACTGCTCAATGGCCCTGAGTGCCGAGTAAAGGTCAAAATATGAAGCCCTTCACCGGTATATGGTGACGTCTCTATATGAGTGAAAAATTCTCGAATGGGAAGTAAAACAACATACAATCAATCAATGATAAAACCTTCGTTTATAAAAATTCCTCTTTAAATGGAATTTTAGAAAGACGGCACACTGAATGTTGCCCAAAATCGGAAATTAATCTACAATGACTGTCAGATTTGTAGAAAAATTCTAACAGAGTACTGTTTTAAAAGCATGCATACTAGTATTTATACACTCATTGAATATTTTAATACAAATGTATAGTCATCCTGCTTAGTTCAGTAAAACGTGTAAAAAAATGGCTAAAATTTTCAGTAAATACATGAATTTCCTAGCCTATTTAGTATTAAAACATTTTTGTGACGTTTTTCTTTTGTTTCTACAGTCTCATATTTCAAAGAGTATACTAGCTATAGTCCAATATTATTTTCAGGAGTACAGTATCATATCTAATATTGTACTCCAGAATAATACTGGACTGTGTGAAACAAAGGATGACATCACCTAGCTTTTATAGAAAGAATGAATAAGGCAACAAATAGACAAAAATTATGCATTTTATATAGAAATCAACATCTCGTAATCAACATCTCCTAATCCAATTCAAGCTTTGTAGAATCCAGTGTAATCTATATGGAAATTAACATCTCGTAATCCAATTCATGCAACGAAACTTCCAAAGTAGGAATGTCCCAGAAATCAGGTCCCAGAATTAAATTCATGTAAAGTGGTCCATTGAAGAATGTTAGCATTTAGGAGAAGAAAAAGCGAAATGCAGAGAAGTTTACACTCGATCTGTAAATGTATCCCATACAACTCCGATTTTTCTTTCTTAGAAAATTTAATTTCAATAAATATTTCCAAATTAATTTACGTAAAGATGTGGTGTTTTCAATATCCAAGGAACAAAAGGCGCTTTCCTGGAATATTTGCCTACTGGTCACTTACAATCTTCATCCGTTAAAAAAAGGATTCTTCACAATACTCTCAGAATCGCTCAATGTTACGAAAGTGCCCAGCTCTTTATAAAGCATCCGTAGAGTGCCACAACGATAAATAATATATGATTGAGGTTCAGTAAGGGTTTTTAATTCAAAAACTATTCATCCTTTTGAAAGAAATCTCTTAAATCCCTAAGCACCCTATCCGTCTGGTTTGATCCCCCTCACCAGCATCGTATTATGACAATAGCCAATACCAAATTGCATTTCATTTATTTATTTATTTTAATTTTTTTAATTTATTTTTTAATGGTGATTTGGGATATCTTTTTAAAAACAATTTTCTCAATATTCTAGCATAAATAAATTAATATTAAAGATTCAGGACTAGTTTTAGTATAAAAAAATATTTATTTTTAACACTTTAATATAAATTTTACTCTTAATTCACACAAATTAAACAGAAATAATGGATTGAAATTTTAGGGCGAGACACCCCCTGGACAACGGGCTGAGACAGCTCTAGATATCAGCCCTGAGGGCGAGACAGCCCTAGTTCCAAGAGGCTGTCTCACCTAGTCCGAAACGCCTGTGTCAGGGCTGATACACTACTAAGTATAATTATGATATAATATGCGATCTCATTTTCTCTATTAGTATTCTCCTTTGTGTTTGATACACAGTTTGTGTCACTTTATCCACTCATCATAAACATCTATATATTATTTCTTAACCAGATTGGAGACTATAAAACTAGTAAATGATTTTAAATCTTGTTTGTTTTTAAACCCCAAAATACAACTACTTCTGAAATATTCTGTGACGTCAGTCGTTCTTAAAAAAAAACGGTAACAGCCCAGATCAACTTTTCGTCGAAGATCTTCTTCCGACCCCCCCCCCCTCCCATCCCCACGAACGTGTTTTAAAAATGTACTACCGTCTGAAATTTTCTTGTTCTATTTGTAGACAGATGTCTGGCTTATCACTGGTTTACTATACATGTTTCATCAAGTATTTTTTGGGTATCTGTTGACGTTTTCCATATTCTACACATAATTTGACAAACTTGCACTGCTCCGTCGAATCACTCGACGTCATTTTTGCAGTTGTTTTCATAGGGAACACATCGGAGCAAATAGCAATATTTCCATTAATACTTCAAATATTATATCAATGGTTATAATAAATTCTTATGTACGATACATATTGATTTTATTTATTTGTCGTTTTAATAACATATTCCTGGAGAAAAAAAATCTCGATTATATACAACTTATAAAACAAAACAAAACAAATTAAAGAAAAAAGAAAAAACACCAGCATGATATAAAATGTTTTAATTTGTAGGAACAACAGAAATTCTATTGTTGGAAGCATTCACAGTTATTAGTCAAAGTTACTGATATAAAAATAGTTGATTTTTGGAGACTCTATCATTTGCAGTGATGACTTTGATTTTTTTCCTGAAATAATTTGTAATACCCGCTTGGCCGCATAGTACGTCAACCAAACACGGGTAACGTCAATATCTAGGTGGAAAGTGTATAAGATCCTTATGATTTGGGAGCATTAAATTTTTGTTTTCATATTTTTAAATTAAAAGCACATGCACGTAATTCAATACACTGACAGGTATAAAATAATAAAATGAAGGTAAATTTGATCTGGAAGTGATTTTTGGGAACGTAACTGCCGTGTACACTTTCAAAAAAAAAATGGACCTAAGGAAAAAACAGATAGTTTAAGGATTTTATTTTCTTTAATTTTACTACGAGTTTAAACTGCATATTCTAAAAAATAATTACTAACACATGTGCATTATTGTGTTTACCAGTCATAGCAATTAAAAATGACGTCATCGATACATAGTTCGAAACGTGCGGGCTGCGTGAAGTTTGAGGACGATTTTAGGGTACGGACGAATTTACGGTATACGACGATATATATATATATATATATATATATATATACATATATATATATATATATATATATATATATATATATATATATATATATATATATATATATATATATATATATATATATATATGAAATATATGGAGATAACGAACAGTATTCAAGCTCAAAAGTCCATTATACAATACAAAATAAGAGCAGAGCAAACACGGACCTCCAAACATCAGAGGTGGGATCAGGTGCCATGGAGGAGTGAGCATCCCCTGCCGACCGGTCACACCCGCCGTGTGCTCCTTGTCATGATCGGGAAATAACGGAAAAATCCGTCGACAATTCAGTGTGTAAATAATGGCCTAACAATTAGTATGAAAAACGTCAGTCAGCATTTGACTCAATGATAAATTGTATTTGCTGACAAGGTCATTGTATCGACCATA